TTCCACAACAGTTTCCACAGCAGTCTCTTTCTTCTTCATCGTTTCTACCTTTCCATTCATCTTCTTGATCGTCAACTTTGTTCCATGCTGTCCAGCCACTGTCCAGTTTCCCTTCTTGACCTGAGGACTCAAAACATGAAGACTACTACGAATCCTCTTGATTTCCTCAGTCAATCGCCGTATCTCCATCTTCACTACCCTCAATTCTTCCTTAAGCTGCTGGTAAAGTTGCTCGATGGAGGGCATCTTGGTTCAGTCCAAGGAGAGTACACTAACGTCCTCACTGAGCTAAGTACACATCACCACTGATGCCACCAAGATGCCCTTGTGTTGCAGTGTCTGACAGAGTACACAACTGAAGAAGCCTTCTGTGTAGGCGAAACATTTTGGAAAAAAGTTGCCTAACTGTTGCCCATGTGTCTTACCTACCAACCTGTCAGTATTGTATACCATTATAATATTCACTCTGTCAGACACCGCAACACAAGGGCATCTTGGGTACAGCAGAGAAAACACCTTGAACAACTTTTTCAAGTGAGAAGTGTTGGATCTGAGAGGGACGTGACCCCTCAGTGACTTCATTCTCTCTACTACCACCCTGCGCGTCTCCTTCTGACAGTATATACTAAGTCTCCACACTGTCTCTTGTTCCTTCAGATTGTTTCAGACTATGGAACAGAACTTTTCTCCAGGCTGAGGGACTGAGGACATCTTACTAGCTTCTACTTACAGTAAATAGACACTTATAGTAGTTTCCTTACTGACTGTCATCCAAGTTTCAGTTACGTATTTCCAGTTAAGGTCGGGACATTTTGAAAAAAAAAAATTCATATTGCTTGTATGTTTATTTTATGCTTTACAGGAAGGCATATTTGTTGGAGAGAGAATGGTCAAAAACTATATATATATGTATTTTAAAAGATACGATTTTGTTAAAGCTGGATTAAAAATATATATATTTTTAAAACAGATTCACCAGCTGCATTAATTTTGTTTGCCTGGTCATTTTATATATGTGTGGAGAGTAGATGTTTGGAGAGTAGATGTGTGGAGAGTAGATGTGTGGAGAGTAGATGTGTGGAGAGTAGATGTGTGGAGAGTAGATGTTTGCTTGGGAGAGAGCAATAAAGAACTAGATTTTATAATTACAATTTTTTAATCATGACCTATAAAATTTTTATCTCCTCTTCTTTTTCACCATCTTGATTGATGTTTTGTCTATGTAAATGTTGTGCATGTATAATTATCTCATATTTGTTTGGTGAAGATTAATCAAGAACTGTAGATTTAATTATTACATTTGTTGATCAGCAGCTGGCCACATTCAGTACGTGATCAGTTGACACGTGGCGTCTCAGATCACCTTCCTCTTTCTCCTCCTCCTCCTCCTCCTTTTCTTCTTCTTCATCCTCCTCACCTCCATTACCACCTCCTCCACCTCTGCTGCCACTGCCATCACTGCCTTTACCCAACACACCGGAACTCTTACCACCATGTTTCCACACCATCTGCCCAAACACCTAATAAGTACCTTAGCTATAACATTATGTGGAGAGCATGTGTGAAATATATGGTGTCAGATACAATGGAAGAAAGGGAGGCAGTCATCCTCCTCTGCATTGCAAGATCATCAGGAGGGGAGACAATACTGTTGCTATGGCTTGTGTATTGTTCTGTCAGAAAAAAAGTGGGAGTGGGAGAGGGGGGGAGGGGTTTTATTCTACTCCCCAGTAATTTTGTCAATCCCAGGGGAGAGAGTGGGGGAAGGGAATGTGAAGAGGGGGGCGGACGTGAGAGTAATAAGAAATAACATGAGGGAATGGGAAGAATAGGAAAAAAGAGGGAGGAAAAAGAAAGAGGACTTGTCTATGTGTTAAAATTTTTTTTTTTAAATTTTCATTCTTAAACATTAAATAAAATTACAGTAGATTGAAATAATAATTTTTTTTTTTTAACAAGGGGGCCGTCTGCCACTGAGGCAGGGTGCCCCAAAAAAAATTTCCCCAAAAAGAAAATATTTTCATCATCTTTAAACACTTTCACCCTCACTCACACTAATCTAATATTCTGGGAAATTTTTTTTTTTTTTTTCAACAATCGGCCCGTCTCCCACCGAGGCAGGGTGACCCAAAAAAAAAGAAAAAAAATCCCCAAAAAAAAAAATATTTTTCATCACATTAACCTTTTTCCCCACACTCCAAAACTTATCATGCTTTGCAGAGGGCTCAAAAAACAACAGTTAGAAAAATTTACATATAAAGAACAAAACATACCCCTCCAAACGCCAAAACCCAAACGGATTAAAAAGTGGGCATCGGGGGGAAAAATGGTTCGGATTTCGAAAACTACTTAACGAACAATTTCGGAATGCATTATAATCATAATCTTTTTTTTTCAGCGTGATAAAAACTTTGTACAGAGATGGTGACATTTGGGTGTGCATGCAAAAATCCCTTGTAGCAGAGCTTTAGGGCAAATTTTGTCTTCTTATGACTAAAAGGCATAACTAATTGATTGAGTTTTTATACATTTAGGTTCATAAGTGGGGACCCACTGGAGGGATAATGTTTGGAAAACTTTTAGTACACTCTTGAACAAGATGGTTTTCATAAAATTGTTTGGCTTGGAAGTCACTGAAATTTTTTTTTTGTACACGTTTTTCATTAAATTTTATAGATTTTTTTTGGGGTTTTTAAATTTTGAAAATCATTTCAGGGGGGTCATGCATTGAAGGATTTGCTATGATATTTCTTTGGGTCATTCGTGGGTTATAAAAATGTACGAGGCTACACAGCACTGAGGGTTGAAATTGGGCCCAAAAATTCAAATAAGCAAAATATTTTTTTTTGGGGCCGGGGGGAAAGGGGTTTTATATGACTCGTTGGTGATGAATCAATTTTTACTTAGAAAATTTAAAGAAGGGAAGGGAAAAAAAAATTTAAAAACTTACAAAGGCTCCGAAGGCAAAACTTGGGACAAAAAGTTACATTAGGGGCACAGTTCCTTTTACCTAACCTAGGGGCCCCTTTACTCAAAACAGTCACAAGTTTCCTCTTTTATTGAATGGAAATTTTAAGCAAAGTTTTTTTTTTTTAAAAATGCTGGCCACTCCCACGAGGGGAGGGGACTCAAAAATGAAACTTTCACCATCATTCACCTATCACTGTCTTTCCAAGGGGACGATTTCAAAAGTGAAATGTTTATTTCAGTAATTTATCTTGATTTTTTGAATTTCCAAAATCAGGATGGTTCTCTATAATTTTTTAAAAGGGGAAAGGGAAGGTTTTGAGGTGTTTTTGGGATTTTTAGAGGAGAGACCAAATATAAAAAGG